TGCTTTTGGCATGATTGCCATTTTTTTTACATTGATTCTACCTATACAAGAGAATGGGAGATCTTTCCATTTTCTGATGTCTTCTTTAATTTCTTTCTTTAAATGCTCAAAGTTCTTGCAATACCTGTCTTTCATTTGTTTAGTTAGAGTTACCCCCAAGGTATTTTATGTTGTTTGTGGCAATTGTAAAGGGTGATGTTTCTGTGATTTCTTTCTCAGCCCTTTTATCATCTGTATATAGCAGGGTTACTGATTTTCTTGAGTTGATCTTGTATCCTGCCAGTTTGCTAAAAGTATTTATCAGCTGTAGGAGTTCCCTGGTAGAGTTTTTGGATCACTTATGTAAACTATCATATCATCTGCAAATAGTGAAAGTTTGACCTCTTCCTTTCCAATTTGTATCCCCTTGATATCCTTTTGTTATCATATGGCTCTAGCTAGAACTTCAAGTACAATATTGAAAAGGTATGGAGAGAGTGGACAGCCTTGTCTTGTTCCTGATTTTAGTGGAATCTCGTTGAGTTTGTGTCCACTTAGTTTGATGTTGGCTGTTAATTTGCTGTATATAGCTTTTATTATGTTTAGGTATATTCCTGTTATCCCAGATCTCTCCAAGACCTTTATCATGAAGGGGTGTTGGATTTTGTCAAAGGCTTTTTCTGCATCTAGTGAGATGATCATGTGATTTTTGTTTCTCACCTTATTTATATGGTGGATTACATTGATGGATTTTCGTATGTTGAACCATCCCTGCATCCCTGGGATGAAACCTACTTGATCGTGGTGAATGATTGTTTTGATGTCTTCTTGGACCCCATTTGTCAGTATTTTATTGAGTATTTTTGCATCAATGTTCATGAAGGATATCGGTCTGAAGTTCTCTTTCTTAGTTGTGTGGCTTGGGGATCAAGGTTATTGAAGCCTCGTAGAAAGATTTTGGCAGACTCTTCTGCTCCTATTGTGTGGAATGCTTTGAGGAGAATTGGTATAAGCTGCTCTTAAAATTTCTGGTAGAATTCTGCACTGAGGACATCTGAACCTGGGCTTTGTTTGTTTGGAAAACTTTTGATGACTGCTTCTATTTGCACTGGGGTTATAGGTCCATTTAAATTACTTATCTATTCTTGATTTAATTTTGGCAAGTGATATTTACCCAGAAAATTGTCCATTTCCTTTAAATTTTTTAGTTTTGTGGAGTACAGGTTTTCAATGTATGACTGATCATTCTCTGAATTTCCTCAGAGTCCGTTGTTATGTCCCCCTTTTTGTTTCTGATTTTGTTAATTTGCATGTTCACACTCTGCTGTTTGGTAAGTTTGGACAAAGGTTTGTGTATCTTGTTGATTTTCTCAAAGAACCAACTCTTTGTTGCATTGATTCTTTGTATTGTTTTCCAAGTTTCTACTTTATTGATTTCATCCCTCAGTTTATTTCCTGGCATCTACTCCTCCTGTGTGAGTTTGCCTCTTTGTGCTCTAGAGCTTTCAGTTTTGCTGTTAATTCTGTAATGTAACTATTATCCTGTTTCTTCATGTGGGCACTTAGTGCTATGAACTTCCCTCATAGCACTGCTTTCATAGTGTCCCATAGGTTTGGGTATGTTGTGTCTTCATTCTCACTGAATTCTAGGAAGTCCTTTATTTCTTCTTTGACCCAGGAATGGTGCTATTGTGTGTTATTCACTTTCCATGAGTTTGTAGAGTTTCTGCAATTTGTGTTGTTGTTGAATTCTAATTTTAAAGCATGGTGGTCTGATACGATGCATGGAGTTATTCCATTTTTTTGTACCTGCTGAGGTTTGTTATGTTGCCAAGTATGTGGTTGATTTTTGAGGCCATTCCATGTGGTGGTGAGAAGAAGCTATATTTTTTTTTATTTGGATGGAATTTTCTATAGATGTCTGTTAATCCCAATTGGGTCATAACTTCTATTAGACCATTTGCTTCTTTGTAAAGTTTCTGTCTGGTACTCCTGTCTAGTGGTGAGAGTGGGGTGTTAAGTCTCCCACTATAAGTGTGTGGGGCTTTATATGTGATTTGAATTTTAGTAATGTTTCTTTTAGTAACATGGATGCATTTGTATTTGGGGCACAGATGTTCATAATTGAAACTTAATCTTGTTACTTTCTCCTGTGATGAGTATGTAATGACCTCCTTCATCTATTTTGATTGATTTTAGTTTAAAGTCTAATTTGTTAGATATTAGGATTGCTATCCCTGCCTGTTTCTTGGGTCCATTTGATTGGAATTCTTTTTCCAACCTTTAACTCTGAGGTAATGTCTGTCTTTGAGGCTGAGGTGTGTTTCATGTATGCAGCAGAAGGATGGGTTTTGTCTTCGAATCCATTCTGTTATCCTATATCTTTTTATGGTTGAGTTAAGACCTTTAATATTGAGGGATATTAGTGACCATTGATTGCTCATTCTTCTTCGATTTGTAATGGTTGTTGTTGGTGGAATTATGTGTAGAATCCCACCCTTTTTTCCTTTTGGCTGTTGGTAAGGTGGGATTATCTAGTGCCTATGTTTTCCTGGTTGTAGTTAACTTCCTTGGGTTGGAGTTTTCTTTCCTGAACTTTCTGTAGGGCTGAGTTAGTGGATACGTATTGCTTAAATCTAGTTTTGTCATGGAATATCTTGTTTTCTCCATCTATATTGATTGAAAGCTTTGCTGGGTATAGCAGTCTGGGCTGGCATCGGTGGTCTCTTAGTGATGGTAGAATATATATCCATGACCTTCTGGCCTTCAGAGTTTCCATGGAGAAGTCAGGTATAATTCTGATAGGTTTGCCTTTATAAGTTACTTGGCCTTTTTCCTTAGCTACTCTTAATATTCTTTCTTTATTCTGTATGTTTGGGGTCTTGATTATTATGTGGCCAGGGGATTTTTTGTGGTCTGCTCTGTTTGATGTTCTGTAAGCTTCTTGTACCTTCATTGGCATGTCTTTCTTTAGGTTGGGAAAGTTTTCTTCTATGATTATGTTGAATGTGTTTTATGCCCCTTTGAGGTGGTTTCCTTCACCTTCTTATAATACCTATTATTCTTAGGTTGGATATTTACATGGTGTCCCATTTTTCCTGGATATTTTGTATTAGGGATTTGTTGTACTTAAGATTTTCTTTGATGAATCAATTTCTCCTAGTGTATCTTCAACACTTGAGATTCTCTCTTTCGTCTCTTGTATACTGTTGGTTATGCTTGCATCTGTAGTACCTGACCATTTGCCCAGCTTTTCTATTTCCACCCTTCCTTCAGATTGTGGTTTTATTTAATTGTCTCTATTTCAGTTTTCAACCCTTGCACTGTTTGAATTTTTCTTGCTGTTTTTCTTTGTCTTTTCTTCCATTTGTTGCATTTTTTGCTTTGTTTTTTCTTCCATTTCTTGTTTTTTTTCTTTCATTTCTTTCTTTTTTTTTGGTTTGCTTTTTCTTTCATTTCTTTGAGGGATTTTCCTATATCCTTTTTGAGGGCCTCTATCTTTATCATGAAGTTGTTTTTAAGGTCATTCTCTTCTGCTTCATTTGCATTGGAATGTTGGAGTCTTGCTGGTGTGGAGTCTCTAGAATCTGGCAGTGTCATATTTGCTTTTCTGTTGCTGAGTGTTTTTTTTTTGTACTGTCTCTTTCTCACGTTTTCTTCTAGTGGGTGCAGAGAGAGCCCCTTACTGGTTAGGGGACCAGAGTTCCCTTTTAGTGGGTGCAAGCAATTACAATACTCTGGTAGTTCTCCTCTTCCTGGTCCTAGTTCTGGTCCCGTGGAGAAGAAGCCTGGGAATCTGGGGTGCTTAGTCTCCCTCTAGCGGTCTGCAGGCACTGGTCCCCTGGTCTCCTGGTCCACTGATACCGTTTGTGGAAGAGAAGACCAGGAATCTGGGGTGCATGGCTCCTGCCAGGAGGGGGGCTCTGTGGCAGTCCCCAGGCTGTCCCCAGGCACTGGAAGGCAGGCCTGGATGCAGGGCCTGGTTTACCTGTTCCCCTGGTCATGCATCTTCTAGGTCATTTTGATATGTTTTCTCTTCTTGGTTTTCTTTATATTATCCAGTTTTGTGGCATGCACCTTCTGGTTGTTGGTACCCATGTAAAATCTGTCCACAACCATGACCCTATTATCCCCTTCCAGCAGGAGCCCAGCCTTTGCTCTTAGCTTGACAAAGCACTATCTTGTACAGCCACTTTAACCCTCACAGGTATAAACTTGGCCAGGATTCTCTGATGTCCTTACAAGCAATACATTTTGATAAATTTCAAGTTACAAGCATGAAATCTCTACACTGACTCACCAGGCAATGCAAAACATGTAGTCTTTGTGCTTTGTACAAAATCTCATTCTGCCTTCAGAGGGTTTTCAAGTAATATTTTTAGCCTTCTCTCCTGGGCTGCTGAGTTGACCAGTGTCCTGAGCAGGAAAACTGGCCCTGGGTTTGTGTTTTCCATGTTGTCAGAGGCTACGTAACTATGGTGTCTATGAGAAAAATAATTTCATTATTCCTTAAGCAAACTATCTGTAAGACTGAGTTATCATGTAAGTGGATTCCTGTTGCATTGCAGGGATAATTTCTGACATTTGGTCAGTTTTTATGGTTGTTTTCTGATGTCAGATAATCCTTCTATGTTGGAGGGGAATTCTACCAGACACATGAATAATATATAATTTAATATTTTAAAATATACAAATTTTATGACTTTAGATCATGAAGGAAGAGGGAGATATTTTTTCTTCCTAATGCTGACGAGATTGAACCTAGGGACTTGTATCTGTTAGGCAAATGTCCTACTATGGGACTGCAAAGGCAGACCTTGATTGACTTTTTTCAGTTCAGGCTAGCATCCTGATTACTGGACATCATACTTGAAGAGGCATCTTGGCATGTAACCAGCAAGTCATTTGAGTTATCTATCCTATTTGAGACTTACATGTTTATTTCTATTTGCTTTTTCTCACTTTTACATATTCCTCTATTTAATTTTTAAATTAAGTAACCAAAAATTACATATCAAGGATTAGGGAAGGTCAGCAATCTTATTTTTATATTCCATTACATCCTTAGGGGAGGAAACATTAATTCAGGGAAAGATGCAAATACTTGAACTCCAAGGAATGACACTTGAGATTTAAAAACAAGCAAAGGATAAACATGATTCATGTGTATACATTATGTTCAGTCATGAAAACATCATAAGGAAATCCATTGCTTTGTACAATGAGTATACACTAACTAAAAAGTAAAACGTAGAAAGATATTAGATTATAAACCAAGCTCTTCAATTGTTAATATTCTGGCAAAGGTTGAGTAAAGTTTTCTTTCAGTTGTATTATTATGAATTTAACTTTTAGAAACCACATAATGAGCTTTTTTGACTCATTGAATATAAGTTCATTATAATTCAGTTTAATTCATTACAATTCAAGTCAATTAAAAACCAATAATTTTTGTATTATGCAATAGACAGCACAATTGAAACATTGAATTAACTGAGAATATTTCATGGTTACACAAAATAACAAAACAGAAGATAATTATTAAATATCACAAAAAATGTTTTGCTTTCCATAGCTACAAAATAATAAAAGGTGGAAATTATCAGAAGTGATAGCCAGAATCAAATAGAATATGGAAATTTCCCTAAATCTCCAGAGTCTTTTGAAAGGCTAGGAGAAACTGCAGGAGAACCAAAGGAAATGTATACATTACTATAAACTAGAAGGGAGCCACGGGGAACAGCATGCTTAGAATGCACAAGCCTCTGGGTGTGGTTTCCAATAAGGCTGTCTTAGTTACTTTTCCTAGTTCTAGGATAAAGTAGGGAGGGTTTGGGCCTCACAGATCAAGACTGCACCATGACAGCGAAGGTGAAAGCCACACGCTTGAACAAGATCACACTGCATCTCCAGGCAGGAAGAAGGGAGCAACGAGGCTTGGGCTCAGCCCACTTTCTCCTCCTCACATAGTTCAGGGTCTCAGCCCAGGGAATGGTGCCACCCACAATGCTCTTCCAACCTCTGTTAACCTAGCATGATAACCTCCATTGGCATGCCCAGAAGGTGGGTGGTTCTCCATCTCCAGTTCACAAGCCAGAACCACAAGAGCTCCATGTACACCTTTATTGGTGGATTAAAAAGATGAGACCACGTAAGGTCTGGATTCTTTGCAGGATTTCAGTGGTTACTTCTACTGCTCAGATTAGCTTTTGAGCATTATTGTGTCAAGCAGTGATTTACCAGGTGGGGTTCTTTGTCTGTTTGATTGTTGATCTGCTTCTTGGAAGCGTGTCTAGAGCCTGGCATGCATGTATGGTCTGCCACTGATTACACCCTCAGTCTCTAACATATTTGTTCAGTGACAGAGGGGACAAGTCAGTAATACATGAGGTTATCCCTTTGCTTTTTTACAAGTGAGGCTGCTAACATTAATATTTGTGCTAGGTGGGTAGTGGACAAATAATGCAGCCAACCTCTAGCACATGCAGTCCATGGAAGAAAAGTTCACGATTCTAGTGTCTTAATATTTTAATACACTGGTTGCTTATTTGTAAGACAAGCACCTTGTTAAACTCCAGACTACTGAGAGTGACGGTAAGAAACTTCAGCTGTGAGTGAAGCTCACTAACAGAATTTATGGTGAGCACTTAAGAGATCCTATATAAATATCCAATAGCAATAGAATAAAGTGAAAATATGTAAATAATTTGGGTATAAAAACTTTAAAATTTGTGGTAAAAACAGTAAAGTAGGTGGCATATAGGAGACAGAGAGAGATGCATATCTATTAGTTTGAGACAAGCATATATACATATATACAAATATATATATATATTCAGTTAGTGATATCCTGTCTGAAACAAAATAAAAACAAAAAAACTATACAAAACCTAAAGCACGTCAAATAAAATGTCTTTTGTTGTCTAATTCTTGAGCTAATGTAATGCATATGTTGAAGCATAAAGATATTGTGTTGCTAATATTCATATGCCTGAAACTACTAGTGCAATAGATATCAAGAAAGAAAAAAATTTAGTAATGGAGGAAATACATGATTTGATTACAGAGCCAGTAAAATACAATTCACTCACGAGAAACATTTTACTGTAGATTTGGCAAAAATAAATTCACCTAACCAAATACAAAAGCTAGCCAAATACAAAGCTATCCCTGCAGTGGTGATTTTCCTTAATTTCTCTCCCAGGATTCTGAAGCAACAGCTGGGGAATCATGGGTTTGAGGAATTTGAACTCACCAGTTCCAGTATCCCCGGTAAGATACACTTCATACTGGTAGCTCTGGGAGAGGGTTCCAGTGCCACTGACATCCACCAGGGGTCCAGGAAAGTGTCCTTCAGGCACAGAGCAACCACCCAGAGAGGCCGCCCTGGCCCTCCTGCACAGCCTCACCCCTACAAACAGCAGCACAGACAAAAGGAAGAGCGAAGACACAGATGCCAAGGCGATGACCAGATACAGCGTGAGTGCATCCTCATCCTGGACAGAGTTGCTTGCCACCTCAGGCAGAAGCAGGTAGGGCTGAGAGAAGCCATCCACCAGCAGCACATGCAGAGTGACACTGGCAGACCTGGGAGGGTCGCCATTGTCCTTGACCAGCAGCAGCAGCCTGTGCTTGGGAGCATCGCGCTCACTCAGCAGCCTGGAGGTGCGCACCTCGCCATTGTGAGCCCACACGCTGAACAGCCCTGGCTCTGTGGCCTTGAGCAGCTGGAACGACAGCCAGGCGTTCTGGCCAGAGTCGTGGTCCACAGCCACCACCTTGGTGACCAGGTATCCTGGCTCCGCCGCCCTGGGCAGCAGCTCTGTGCAGGGCGCAGATACGTTCTGCAGCGGGTAGAGCACGAAGGGCGCATTGTCATTGGAGTCCAGCACGAGCACGCGCACCAGTGCCTGGCTGCTGAGAGCCGGCGAGCCTTGGTCTGTGGCGCCCACGCGGAACTCGAAGGTCTGCAGGGCCTCATAGTCCAGCGCTCTGAGCGCGAACAGCTGCCCGTTGTTGGCATTGATGGAGATGAGCGAGTCCAGGGCCAGCTGCGGGTCGTGGCTGGGCAGCAGCGAGTAGGTGATGCGGGCATTGGAGCCTGAGTCTGAGTCTGTGGCGCTGATGGTGCCTATGTGCAGGGCGGGGCTGTTGTTCTCCTGGACAAACAGGGTGTAGGAGGTTTGTGTGAAGGCGGGGGCGTTGTCGTTGACGTCAGACACCTGCACTGTTATGGTGTGCTGGGTTGTGAGCCTGGGTATGCCCAGGTCGGTGACTGTGATGGTGATGTTGTACTCAGCTCTGCTCTCTCTGTCCAGTGCTCCCTCTGTCACTAAAGTGTAGTAATTCTCGAATGTGGGCTTCAAAAGAAATGGAAGATCATTCTGAATGGAACACACCATCCTTCCACTGTCCCCGAAATCTGGGTCAGAAACACTGAAGACAGCGACTACAGCCTCAGGAGCATTTTCTGGGATTGAAGCAGTGAGCGAAGATATGGTGAGTTTAGGAGCGTTGTCATTCACATCCAACACCTGAATAGTTACACTGCATTTTCCTGAAAAGCCTCCACTGTCTGTGGCTATAATTTCCATGTTATAGTAGGGTGTTGACTCAAAGTCCAAAGCCCCTATAAGATGGATTTCTCCTGTGACCTCGTCTATTACAAACGGTTGAGAAGCTCCACCACCTTGAAACAGAGAGTAGGCGACATTCCCATATATCCCAGCATCTAAATCCCTGGCAGAGACCGCGACAACTAAGGCACCAAGGGGGCTGTTCTCAGGGACCTGCACCTCATAGAGCGACTGTAGGAACTGGGGGACGTTGTCATTGATGTCCACGACTTCAATGCGAACTGTGGTGGTCCCAGACCTGGGCGGAGACCCTCCATCCACAGCAGTGAGGGTCAAAGTGAGCTCAGGCTGCTCCTCCCTGTCCAGGCCTCTGTCCAGCACCAGCTCTGGATATTTCCTGCCATCAGCGCGACTGTGAGTGACCGCATGGAAATGGAGGTTGGGGCTGACTGTGTAGTTCTGAACAGCATTGCTCCCTATGTCAGAATCCTGAGCTGCCTTCAGAGGAAACACGGTTCCTGGTTGGGCACTCTCAGGGATTTTTAGGAGCATTTCCCTGTGGGGAAACTCCGGAGAATGGTCGTTTACATCCGTGAGCTGAAGGTCTGTTTGGAAGAACTGCACAGGGTTCTCGAGTATGAGTTGGAAGTGCAGCACACAAGGGTCTGTCGCCGCACACAGCACCTCGCGATCTGGCTTTTCCTTTAATAGCAAATTTCCGGTCTCTGCATCCAGCCCCAAGAGCTCTTTGTTTCCTCTGTGATGGATTCGTGCCCCTCTAGAGGCCAGCTCCCCCTCCCTGAGCCCCAGATCTCTTTCCAGGTTAGCCACCAAGTAGCCAGTCTCTGATTCTTCTGGCATGGAGTATCTAATTGCCTCAGAGCCAGACTCCCACAAAAGCAGCAGCATAGCAATAAAAACGACTTGCCTTTGCTGTGGCGTTTTTGCTAGGGCTGTCTCCATTGTTCAGATGCAGTCCAGAGGGCGTTGCTTCTTCTAATTGTTTTCAATCCACAAAGATAGTTTGGTGAATAACCTCCAATTAAATCTTCTTTAACGCCCTACCATCCCTGGGCGTTTCTCCCCTGGTTCACACTTAAATGTGTTGTCCTTCTGGGGAGCAGACAGCGTTCTGATTTTCAGATTTCTCTAGTTTCCTGGGAATCTGCAGAGCTGGTAGTCTCACGCTTAGTCTACAGCACCACCACGCGTCCATTTTTATGATTGCATATAGTTTTGACATTCTAAATTCTAAGCCTGTTTTTGAGATACAGTTGCTTCTCCTAATACAAGAGTTTATGTTAACTCCTAGTATTTATAAACATACCTTTGATGAGCTAGTATATTCATAATATAGTTTCTTAATATAGCATAGTAATCTTAATTAAATTCTTTAGAGAACATGAAGAAACTTTTTATGGGCTTATAATAAATTAAATGGTATTTCATTAATTTTATACAGAAAAATCCAATTTTTTATAATTTAATTTTGCTTTGATATAGAACATTCATTCAGAAGGGACACACAGGAATATTTTCAATGGTTAATATGTTTCTATAAGTAGGAACCTAAAGCAAAGCTAAAATATGCAAAAATATATTGTGCTCCCTCTGGTCATTATTTCTTGATCAACCCTCTCCACAAAAGTAGCACATTGGCCACTACCATTGCACGTGACTCTGTATTTACCAGAATTTTTATGAAGCGTGGTTGTAGAGCTCTTCTCTCTTATGCCGGCCCTGTGTCATTCAACATCAGCTTTGTGAAGTCGAGTTGTGACAAGTTGTCCTAACTAGATTTCTTATCATTATTTCGTATTACTCCTGTGTGTCATGATTCACTGTGTCTACTCCAGCTGGTGAATGTCTTAAGTTTTTAATGCTACAAACATTGTTGTACATGCGATTTTGATGCGATTTACTTTGAATGTTTGGATTAGTATGCATTCAAATGTGATAATCCATTGAGATTTAGCCTGGATTGTAAGGTATTTTTTTCTAAAAATGTAGGGTTGCTGGATCAGCCACGGTGGCGCGTGTTTGTAATCCTAGCATGGCGAGACACTGAAGGGAGGCTTATAAGTTCAAGGGCAGTATATTATACACTTCAAAAGAAAAAAAAGAAAAAACCTGAAGAGTAGAGATACATGTCAGCTGTAGAACCCTTGTTCAGCATACTCAAGACTGATTCGCAGCACGGTAAAACTTAAGCAAAAGGCAACAGAATGGGAGTTCCATGTGCTCTATGGTGTTGTCAACATTTTCTGTTATCATTTCAGTTTTAACCACTCTTATGAGCACAAATGACACTATATCTTAAACTTAACTAGCATTTCTCTGGTGATTAATGAAATTATCCACATTGTCACATGAATTATTTTTATTATGATACATTGTTTTGAAAGTAGTATTTAGGTGTTTTACATGTTTCTATTTGGAGCATTTTCCTGCAGAAATAATCTTGTGAAGACAGGCATAGTGGCACACACCTTTAATTCCAGCACTTGGGAGTCAGAGGAAGACAGATCTCTGTGAGTTCAAGGCCATCCTGGTCTACATAGTGAGTTTCAGGATAGCCAGAGCTACAAAGTGAGACCATATCACAAAAGAAAGAGAGAGAGGGGAAGAGAGACGAAATATAGACAGACAGACAGACAGATAGATAGATAGAATCCTGTATTCTGAATGTAATCCTTTTTCAAATATATGTATTGCAAATTTTTATGTTTGGGAAAATTATTGTAAGTACAGAAATTTTCCCTATATTCTTGGCCACAAATACACACAGCCTTCCACATTATTAATACCCTAAACTTGTACATTTGTCATCTTTGATAAGCCTATATTAATGTATCTTTTTGTTTGTTTGTTTGAGACAGGGTTTCTCTGTGTAGCCCTGGCTGTCCTGGAACTACTCCATAGTCCTGTGTGGCCTCAAATTCAAAGATCCTCCTGCCTTTGTTTCTCAAGTGCTGGGATTAAAGGACTGCAACAACATACCCAGCTAACACATCTTTTGTTTGCTTTTGTTTTCCAAGACAGGGTTTCACAATGGCTGTCCTGGGACTCACTACCTATACCAGGCTCTTATCCTCAGAACAATTCTCCAGCTCCCATTCACAGATCCTCGTCACCAAGCCCAAACTGTAGACTATGTTTTTTTATTTGATGCTGTATATCCTGTAGATTTGGACAACTTATCACAGTTTATCCATACCTTTAGATTATCAAATGGAATAGTTTCTTGGCCTCCAAATCCTTTAAATCTGTGTATTTCTCTGCCTCTCTGAAATTGGGAAATCACTGATTTTTGAGGGGGGGTTCGAGACAGGGTTTCTCTGTATTGTTTTGGAGGCTGTCCTGGAACTTGCTCTGAGATCTGCCTGCCTCAGTTACTGTAAGTTTTTGACATTGATGAATCAAGTCTCCAGAGGCATCTGTGTTCAAATATTTTTTGTGCCTGTATTTTCTGTTCCCTTGCATGAATACTATAGAACATGATGACCGGATGACACAGTAAGAGTACACTTGACATTGCAAGAAACTACTAAACTGTCTTCCGAGGTGGCCATATTGGTTGCCAATCACATCATCCAAGAATCAGAGTTCCTGGTGCTCCACACCGTCCTCAACATTTGGTGATGTTGGTGTCCTGTAATTTGGTTGTAGTACTTGGCTTAGTATTTCTTGAAAGACATACAATTTGTAACAGTTTTTCACACTCTTACTGACCATCTGTGTGTCTTGGTTGCTAATGTGTCTTAGAGTGTTTTTGCCTGGCGCTGGTTTTGTTGTTGTTGAGTTTTTAAAATCCTGCATATTGCACACATCCTTTCTGAAATATGTCCTTTGGGAACATTTCCCCAATCTGCAGTTTGCCTTTTCACTTTCTTCATAGGACACTTTGCAGAAGAGAAGATGGATGTATCAGTTATTGTTCTGTGGACTATTCCTTTGTGTTAGTAACTTCAATTTTTTTCCTCTTTAAAAATCAAAAACTTAAAATTATTCTGCTTGAATTTCCACAGAAAATATATATGAAGAAAAGAAATGTATAAGATTTCATTGATTTTGTGAATTGATTGGGGAGAACTAGCTTTTCACCTGTTGAATCCTTTAGTTAGTAACCACTGTGTGAGTATTACTCTATTTGGATTCAGCATTTCCCAAAAAATACTGTACAACCTTCGATGCAATAGCGGTATGGCCAGCATGCTTTTTGGTATTTTATGTTTTGAAACTATCTTAACAGCTACTTAAACTTCTTCAATTTCCTAACTTCAGTTAAAATGGTGATTTATAAGTTTTCAACTTTGTAAGTACAAAAATGTCTAAAATATTAACCTTACATTTTTGAGTCATTGACTCTATGTAGCCTTGACTGTCCTGGAACTCACTACGGAGATGAAGCTGGCCTCAAACACACAGAGATGCTCTCCCTCTGTGCCTCTGTGCCTCTGTGCCTCTGCCTCTGCCTCTGCCCCTGCCCCTGCCCCTGCCCCTGCCCCTGCCCCTGCCCCTGCCCCTGTGTTTCGAGTGCTGTGATTAATTGTGTGAGCTGCCACCTCTGCCTCTTTCATTTTTGAAGAAGACATTAGGACTGCAAGGTGATGCTTTTTATTTTTCTTGATTCATTTCAGAATTTTGAATACTACATCTGACCTCTGCCTGCCAGACCCTTCCTGCCACCAAACTCCAAGATGGACCTGGACACAGAATGAGAAGCCAGCTTCATTGGTCACCATTCTGGTTTTACCCCTCCACCCTCCAGTTGAGAGGCAGAGAGGGAAAGAGGGAGAGAGAGGGGAGGGAGGGAGGATAGGATAGAGCCTTGAGCCAAGACTCACCAGGGGAGAGAAAGACACCACCTATACCTGCTGGAAGAAGAGATGGGAAGACGACAATATAAGAATACATCCAACAACAGAAACACTTATATGACACCACCAGAGTCTAGGAACTCTACACCAGCAAGACCTGAACGTCCCAATGCAGATGAAACAGAAGAGAATGACCTTAAAAACAACCTCATGAAAATGATAGATACCCTCAAAGAGGATATGCAAAAATCCCTTAAAGAAATGGAAAATACAAGAAAAAGCAACAAATCTCTTAACAAAACAAGGAAAGCCAAGAAAAAAGTCAAACAGATGAAGGAAACAATTCAAGACCTGAAAACTAAAATGGAGACAATAAAGGAAACACAAACTGAAAGAATGCTGGAAATAGAAAAGCTGAGGAGTAAACAATCAGGAACTACAGATACAAGCATAAACAACAGAATACAAGAGATGGAAGACAAGAGAATCTCAGGTGCTGAAGGTAAACTATAGGATATAGATTCATCCATCAAAGAAAATCTTCAACAAATCCTTAACACAAAATATCCAGGAAATATGGGACACCGTGAAAATACCAAACCTAAGAATAATAGGTATAGAAGAAGGCGATGAAGCCCAGTTCAGAGGCACAGAAAACATATTCAACAAAATCATCAAAGAAAACTTTCCCAACCTAAAGAAGGACATGCCTATGAAGGTACAAGAAGCTTACTGAACACCAAATAGACTGGACAAAAAAAAGTACCTTCACCACATAATCATCAAAACACCAAACATACAGAATAAAATAAGAATATTAAGAGAAGTGAAAGAAAAAGGCCAAGTAAAATATAAAAGCAGACCTATCAGAATTACACCTGACTTCTCCATGGAAACTCTGAAAGCCAGAAGGTTCTAAAGACAATGAGAGAACAAGATTATAGCCCAGACTACTGTACCCAGCAAAACTAGCAATCACTGTAGAGGAAAAACAAGATATTCCATGACAAAACCAGATTTACATAATACATATCCACAAATCCAGCCCTACAGAAAGTTCTAGAAGGAAAACTCCAACCACAAGAAATTAACTACACTACAAAAACATAGACAATAGATAATCTCATTTTACCAAAAGCTAGAAATAGGGTAAAAACTCACATATAATATCACCACCAAAAATAAATCCAAAATAAACAATAATCATCAATCAATGGTTACTAATATTCCTCAATATCAATGGTCTTAACTCACCTATAAAAAGACACAGCCTAACAGAATGGATATGAAGACAGACTCCATCCTTCTGCTGCATACAAGAAACACACCTCCCCTTCAGAGACAAGATGTCATAGTTAAAGGTTGGGGAAAGATTTTCCGATCAAATGGACCTAAGAAGCAAGCGGATATCTGGATAGATATCACTTACCAAAATTAAATCTAACAAATTAGACTTCAAACTAAAATCAATCAAAGGAAATGAAAAAGGTCATTTCATATTCACCACATAAAAAATACATTAGGAAGAAATCTCAATTCTGAACATTTATGTCCTAAATACAAAGTCACCCACATTAGTAAAAGAAACATTATTAAAACTCAAATCACACATAAGACCTCACACAGTTATAGGGGGAAATTTCAACACTCCACAATCATCACTAGACAGGACTACCAAAGAGAAACTTAACAAAGAAACAAAGGAACTAACAGTTATGACCCAATTGAGTTTAACAGGCATCTATAGAACATTCCACCCAAACACAAAAGAATATACCTCCTTCTCAGCACCACCACATGGAACCTTCTCTAAAATCGACCACATACTTAGCAATAAAACAAACCTCAACAGATAAAAAAAATGGAATAACCTCCTGTATCTTATCAGGCCACCATGGATTAAAATTAGAATTCAACAACAAAACAAACTGCAGAAACCCCACAAACTCATGGAAATTGAACAATGCTCAATTGCATCACTCCTTGGTAAAGGAAGAAATCAAAGACTTCCTAGAATTCAATGAAAATTAAGGCACAATGTACCCAAACCTATGGGACACACTGAAAGCAGTTTTAAGAGGAAAGTTCATAACACTATGTGCCCACATGAAAACACTGTAGAAGAGCCACACTAGAGAATTAACAAACACCTGAAAACTCTAGAACAAAAAGAAGCAAACTCACCCCTGAGGAGTAGACACCAGGAAACAATCAAATTGAGGGCTGAAATCGATGAAGTAGAAACAAAGAAAACAACACAAAGAATCAATGAAATGAAGTATTAGTTCTTTGAGAAAATAGACAAGATGGACAAACCTTTATCCAAACTAACCAAAAGGCAGGGAGAGAACATGCAAATTAACAAAATCAGAAACAAAAAGGGGGACATAACAACAGACACTGAGGAAATACAGAGGATCATGAGGTCAGACTTTGAAAATCTGTACTCCACAAAATTGGAAAATTTAAGGAAATGGATAATTTTCTGTATAGACATGACTTAGCAAAATTAAATCAAGAAGATAGATCTATAGCCCCTAAAGATATAGAAGCAGTCATCAAAAGTCTTCCAACCAAAGAAAAAGTGCAGGGCCAGATTGTTTCAGTGCAGTATTCTACCAGAAATTCAAAGAAGAGCTAATACCAATACTCTTCAAATTGTTTCACACAATAGAATCAAGAGGATCATTGCCAAACTCTTTTTACAAGGCTACAATGACCTTGCTACACAAATCACACAAAGACACAAAGAAGCTAGAGAACTACAGACCAATCTCCCTCATTAATATTGATGTAAAAATACTCAACAAAGTACTGGCAAATCAAATCCAAGAACACATGAGAAAAATCACTCAACATGATCAAGTAGGCTTCATCCCAGGGATGCAGGGATGGTTCAACATACAAAAATATATCAATGTAATCCACCATACAAACGATCTGAAAAAGAAAAACCACATGATCATCTCACTAGGTGCTGAAAAAAACCTTTGACAAAATTCAACACCCCTTCATGATAAAGATCTTGGAGAGATCAGGGATAACAGGAACATACCTGTACATGATAAAGGTGGCATGCAGCAAACCGACAGCCAACATCAAACTAAATGGAGAGAAACTCAAGGTGATTCCTCTAAAATCAGGAAAAAGACAAGACTGTCCACTCTCTCCATATCTCTTCAATATTGTACCTGAAGTTCTTCTAGAACAATAAGAAAACAAAAGGAGATCACGGGGATACAAATTGGAAAGTAAGAGGTCAAACTTTCACTATTGGCACAAGATATGATAGTTTACATAAGTGACCCAAAGAATTCTACCAGGGAACTCCTACATCTCATAAACACATTCAGCAAAGTGGTAGAATACAAGATTAACTAAAAAAAATCACATGCTGAGAAACATTATCCTTTACAATAGGCACAAACAACATAAAATATCTTGGAGTAACTCTAACCAAACAGGTGAAAGACCCGTATGACAAGAACTTTGAGTCATTAAAAAAAGAAATTAAAGAAGATACCAGAAAATGGAAAAGATCTCCCGTGCTCTTGGCTAGGATCAACATAGTAAAAATGGCAATCTTACCAAAAGCAATCTACAGATTCAATGTAATCCCTATCAAAATCCCAGCACAATTCTTCACAGACCTTGAAAGGACAATTCTCAACCTTATATGGAAAAACAAAAGACCCAGGATAGCTGAAACAACTCTGTTTTGGTGGTAGTAAGCACCCCCCCCCCACTGAAACAACTCCATGTCACTGTTCATTAATTTAATTTAATTAATTAAAATTTTGTTTTAACATTATCCTTTCAGTCTAAGATCTGTAAGTCGTTTCTGTTATGTTACTCTTGATTTTTTTCTTATCACCCAGTAGGAGGAAATAGGAGGAAAACCCGTACTAAACACGTGGGATAATGACAACCTAACAATGCTTAATACCAACAGGAGCAGTAAGAGCCGTTGGACACAAGCACACATTCAGTAGTTTGAAAAAAGTTTGTAGCCTTTACAGTTCTGTGTATAAAAGCTAGAATGTTAATTCTTAAGATACATGGGACTGCTTTGATTATTTAGCTGAATACAAAGCTATCCCTGCAGTGGGGACTTTCCTTACTTTCTCTCCCAGCATCCTGAAGCAGCAAGTTGGGGATCATGGGTTTGAGGAAGTTGAACTCACCAGTCCCAGAGTCTCCCCTCAGACATACTTCATATTGGTAGCTCTGGGAAAGGGTCCCCATGCCACTGGCATCCACCAGGTGGCCAGGAAAGTGTCCCTCAGGCACAGAGCAACTCCTCAGCGCTGTTGCCCTGGCCTTCCTGCACAGCCTCACCCCCACGAACAACAGAACAGACAAGAGGAAGAGCGAAGACACAGACGCCAAGGCAATGACCAGATACAGTGTGAGCAAGTCATCCTCCTGTGCGCCTTCGTGCGCCACCTCGGGCAGAGGCAGGTAGGGCTGAGAGAAGCCATCCACCAACAGCACATGCAGAGTGACACTGGCAGACCTAGGAGGGTCGCCATTGTCCTTGACCAGCAGCAGCAGCCTGTGCTTGGGAGCATCGCGCTCACTCAGCAGCCTGGAGGTGCGCACCTCGCTATTGTGAGCCCACACGCTGAACAGCCCTGGCTCTGTGGCCTTGAGCAGCTGGAATGACAGCCTGGCATTCTGGCCAGAGTCACGGTCCACAGCCACCACCTTGGAGACCAGGTATCCTGGCTCCGCCGCCCTGGGCAGTAGCTCTGTGCAGGGCGCAGATGCATTCTGCAGCGGGTAGAGCACAAAGGGCGCATTGTCGTTGGCGTCCAGCACGAGCACGCGCACCAGTGCCTGGCTGCTGAGAGCGGGCGAGCCTTGGTCTGTGGCACCCACGCGGAACTCGAAGGTCTGCAGGGTCTCATAGTCCAGCGCCCTGAGCGCGAACAGCTGCCCGTTGTCCGCATTGATGGAGATGAGCGAGTCCAGGGCCAGCTGCGGGTCGTGGGCTGGCAGCAGAGAGTATGTGATGCGGGCATTGGAGCCTGAGTCTGAGTCTGTGGCGCTGATGGTGCCTATGTGCAGGGCGGGGCTGTTGTTCTCCTGGACAAACAGGGTGTAGGAGGTTTGTGTGAAGGCGGGGGCGTTGTCGTTGACGTCAGACACCTGCACTGTTATGGTGTGCTGGGTTGTGAGCCTGGGTGTGCCCAGGTCGGTGGCTGAGATGGTGATGTTGTACTCAGCTGTACTTTCTCTGTCTAGTGGAATCTCTGTCACCAGGGTGTAGAAATTCTTGAAAGTGGATTTTAGGATGAATGGCAGGTCTTCTGGAATGGAACAAAGCACCTTTCCATTCTCTCCGGAATCCCTGTCTCCAACTCTGAAGATACTGATGATGGTCTCAGGAGCGTTTTCCGGGACTGAGCTGGTCAGTGACGATGTGGTCAGCTCTGGGGCGTTGTCATTCACATCCACCACCTCTATCACCACAGCGCCCTTCCCAGAAAGGCCTCCTCCATCGGTGGCCTCAATTTCCACATGGTAAGATTTAACTTTCTCAAAATCCAATTCCTTTCTCAGCCGTATTTCTCCGGTGACTTCGTTTATTGAGAAAGTTTGTTGAATTGCATCTGATGCTTGGAACAAGCCATAAGAAACTCTTCCAAAGTTGCCAGCATCTGCATCCTGGGCTAGGACAGTCAGGACTGGAGAGTCTGGGGAAATGCTCTCCAGGACCTGCACCTCATAGGGGATGTTCACAAATTCAGGGACATTGTCATTGATGTCCAGGATCAGGATTCGAACCATAGCTGTTCCTGACCTAGGTGGAGACCCGCCATCCAGGGCCGTGAGGGTCAAGCTCAGCTCTGCCTGCTCCTCTCTGTCCAGGGCTCTGTCCTGCACCAATTCTGGGTACTTCTTGCCTTCATTGTTATTTCGAGTGAGGACATGAAAATGAGAGGTGGGGCTGACTAGGTATTGTTGAAGCCCATTGCTGCCCACATCCGAATCCTGAGCTAATTTCAAAGAAAACCGTGAGCCTGGATGGCTGTTTTCTGGTATTTTCAAGAGCATTTCCCTGTCTGAGAATTCTGGTGAGTGGTCATTTATGTCCTGGATCAGCAATTCTCCTTGAAGAAATTGCACTGGCTTTTCAAGAGACACCTGGAAATGTAGCACACAGGGCTCCACGGAGGCACACAGCTCTTCCCGGTCTAGTTTCTCCCTCAGAAGCAGATCTCCTGTCTCGGGATCCAGCAGCAATCGCTGCTTGTAATCGTCAGACACCACCCGTGCAGACCGGGCTGCCAGGTCCCAGATCTCAGCCCCAGGTCCTTGGCCAGATGGGCTACAAGGGAGCCGCTTTCTGTTTCCTCCAGGACAGAGTACCGAGTTGTTTGCTCACTGCAAACCTGAACCAAAACCAGCATAAAGATAAAAGCCATGACTTGCCTGTTAGGGTGAATCCTCTCCAGCTTCTGCATGTTGGGAAAGTGAGTGATTGTGTCCAGTCCTTAACGGTATCCAAATGCTTTGAATCTCTGGTTTCTTCTTGGGAGGGATCTTCACTACGTTGCTCTTAATCTTACATTAATCTAGTGTATCCTTGCCCAAACCCCTGCATAGCTCCGAAGTGCTTGCAAAGCTCTTGTGATCGTCTTTTGTTCTGTATTGCCACAAGAGATTCCTGGTATTTTACTGTTTTAAATCACAATCTTAGCCTGCAGCACCACCCTGTGTCTTCCTGAGGAAATTGAAACAATTCCAGTTTTAAGTCAAAACACCTTTTAATGTCAAAACACCATTTTAATGTCCAAATTACTGCCACATTGGAAATGTACATAGTTTTTTTCTTCCAACATTATTTTTGCCCTAAACATAATCATTGGGAAGGTTGTCCACAACTGTTCAGGAGAGGAATCATGAACACAAAGCAGAAGACTTCTAGTCTTGGAACGCATATGTTTAAGTTTGGAATAATCAGGCAAGCAAAACATGAAATGGTATTTCTAAAAGTACTTTCTTAAAGTGATATAAAGCAGAGTTCTGTGGTTAATATCACCAGTTTGTATAAATTATTATAGAGGTAATTTCCTTTTAAATACCCCAGTTCACAAATGCAGGTTCATAGATCTACCTCATTCACCAGCTACCCACCTAAGTGCAAAAGCTACAAACCAGTGGTCCACACTGCTGAGAGCAAACTAACATGTAAAATGGCTAGTCTTCCAATTCTGTAGTATTTGAAGTAGTTTGATACCATAACTTTTTAATGCAATCTCAAACAACTAGCAAATATTTTCTGTATTAATATAGAAAATAGTGTTTATGGATTTAACACATACAAATTATTCAAATATTTGATTTCTAATTTAGAATATTTTCTTGAATTTGTTTTTCTTTCATTAATTTTTAGATATCCAAGAATCCTTGCATTTTTACATAAAAAATTTAAAGGCACTTAAGAACCTCTGGGAAAACAGCAAACTGGCGTTTTGGTAAGAATTCCATTAAATCATACATCAGTCTGAGGGCAATTTTTTCAGTATGGAGTCTTCCCGTTCACTTCAGTTCCTCCGTCTGTGTTCTTCATGAAAGTCATCTACACACTTGTCTGCTTCCATTTTAAGCAACTTATTTCTTTATATTCCAACAGACTTGTCTTCATTTCCAGTTTGTCTGATGCTAATGTGCAGAAATAGTTAATTTTAAGGTGATGATCTTGTGTACTACAAACTTGATGAATTTTTTACTGTTAGCATTTTGTAGCTTACATAGGATGTGAGGCCATGCCATCTATAATTACATAGATGTTTTCCTTTTCCAATTATTACATTTTCTAAAATGTTTTCTGCACTGACTGAGACAATTATGTCATTTTGTCCAAAAGGCATATTTCAGTATTGCTTTTTAAAATGAGCTAATATGCTGCTTGGTAAATCCTTCATAGGTATGGAGTTTGTTATTGGTATTTGTTTGCCAACAAATAACATTTTATTGAGACTTTTCCAATCAATGCCAATAAGGCAAATGGATCTATAATTTTCTCTCCTGTTGTTGTATTTGCCTGGTTTTGTCACAGTTTACTACCATAAATGAGTTTTTCCATAGTTGCTGATCTGATCTTTATTAATACAACAGTAATGTTTGATATGTGGTTTTATGAAGAGGGAATTGTTATTGAAGAATCAAGTTATTTTAAGTTTCACAAGAGCCTAAATACAGCAACTGCTCATTCAGAACAGGAATTTGGGGTTGTAGCATACTATTTTAGGGAACTATCAGATTTGCACATTTATTGCCTAGATTGCTGCTGTGAGTTTTTCCATGTGTGTGTGTGTGCGTGTGTGTGTGTGTGTGTGTGTGTGTGTGTGTGTGTGTGTGTGATGTTTTGTGTCACTTTGTTTTGTTTCGTTCGGAGACAGGGTTTCTCTGTGTAGCCCTGGCTTCCCAGAAGTCATGCTGTAGACTAGGAAAGCATGTAGCTCATGGAGATTCACATGTATCTGCCTCCCAATGTTGAGATTAAAGGCATGCACCATCCCACCCCGCTCTGCAGAATGGTTTTTCACTCATCAGTTGTGTTACAAAAATATTTTCACAGGGTTTAATTCTAGCACCTGACAGACAGATAACAGCAGCCAGGAGGAAGGGGACATTTTCTGAGGCTGCTGCTACACAGAGAAAATGCAGAATCCTAATCCCCTAGGCAGGTTGGCCTCAAGCATAACAGAAGGAGTGAGATAGAAATTCTGCCCATGTGTGTCAAAGTCGAGGTCAACCGCCTCAACTAAGGCTTGGATCTACTGGAACCTGAGTGCAAACTACCACGATACCTCCAATCTCTCTTTTAAAGACAATTAAAGCCAGGGCAGTATGAAGGAACTTCCTAAATAAGGAAAGAAGCCGATTAAAAACGTCATCACTGAGGACGACTAAGGCCATGTTAAAAATGACTAGACTGGTTCAGTTTTGTTCTCTCCCCTAGGACATAGAGATTCATAACTACATGGAGAGACTGCAAGTGAAAGAGATTTGGTTTGGTCAAATCAAAAGTAGGAAATGACAGCTGTGGGGTAAGTGCTAGTTGCTATGAGAATATCCCAAGTGGATTTTTTAGAAGATGAGAACTACTAAAACAATGCAGTGTACTACGTGACTGGCATTCTTAAATAGCAATTGTCAGAACATGATGAATAAATGAAATAATCTAAAGTAAAACGAGGCTTTTCACTTCTCTGTTTTTGTGAAAACCAAGTGTGGAAGGAAAAGAGATTTACATATAATGACCAAGAATCTGGATGACCCCACACTTGTAATCAACAGTACTGAATGGCAGAAGAGCAATAGAAAAATACTTTCATTCTTAAGTATACGATTAACCAAGTGTTGTTATGGACTATAATTGGACAGTGAGTTTTCAAGAAAGTAATTAAATTTCTGAATTGATGTGTTTGTAAAAATGGGGGATAGTATATCTTGAATGATATTATTCTTTGAAAATTAATGATTGAATCTCTATCTTGAATTTTTCAGTTAATGTTGATGCTTTAAATAGTAATGAGAGGTCAATATGAGTACCAACTAGAGACAAAGAACTCTACAAAGAGATTTCTGAGAGTTAATTGAATGAACAGAAAAATCTTGCATTTGATGTCTCCTCATCCTTAAAATCAAAGACATTTATAAGCTCAATTTGGAACTAAATTAGAGATTAATGTATTATCTTACAATTCTCTGAGGTTTTAGAGAAACTGGATCCATAGAAATTGGTGTTATTCTGACAAAATTAAATTGTTGTTCCCTTTTCTGAATATAGATTGTTCTTTTGAAATTTGATGTGTAGACAAGTTTAAGATAAATCTTTAAGTCCTCAGAAAATTCATTGATTTCCTAAATGTTGCGAATTTATTAACCAATGGCTGCAAACTGAGCATTTGTTTTGAATGAGACATTGTGTTATGTACTTCAGGCTCAACTATAAGTAAAACAAAAAACCCACTTTCAGTTGATTTAGTGTCTGCTGAAGTTACTTAACAGTAAGAAGATTCGATTATTGTTTAATTTTGTTTCCTCTTCAATCATTGAAATATCAGTAGTACCAACTTGTACACAAATGATGGTAACCTCATTACTAGAGAACTGATTGACAAAGTCATCTCTTTCACTAATATCCAACTTGCAGTTTGTAAAATGCCCCAAAGTGCAACAGTAGTTAGTGGTATGCATATAGTAACTTCCCATAGCTCTGCACTTAGTAAATATCCACATAAAGAGGCCTTGGGAACCAGGCATGGTGGTACATCTGTGGTCCAGACCTCAGGAGCAGAGGTGGAGGCCAGTCTAGGGTACACAGGGAGAACTGAATAAGAACGAACCTCAAAAAATAAGCAGTAGCAGTAGAACAGAATTCAAATAAATGGATAAGTGATTTCTAAGTACCCAGAAATAAAAAAACTTTGAATAAAGTTTAAATTTTCTTTGTCTTCAAATTCAGGTTATCTTATCAGCTTGGAAAATTTCTGCCAACTTTGTCAACAATGTATAAATATAGTTTATCCACAAATTTAATTATAAATAGGATTTGGGTCTGGGGATGCAGTTCAGTGATAGAAGGCATGCCTTATATACCATGAGCCCGAGGCTTTGGACACACACAGACACACACACATATCCCTACTGATAGTATCACATTCTTTGTCTTCAAGCTGTAAATATAGTCCTTCCTTCTTTACTGTGATATCATATGCTATAGTGCCTCTCAAAAACAATTGTCTTATATGAATTACATAATTTCCAAGAAATTCCAGATATGTATGAAAGAATGAAAATCTGATAAAAATATTTGTACAAAGTATTTGGACTTCGCCTGGCATTGGTGGTGCACGCCTTTAATCCCAGGGCTCGGGAGGCAGAGGCAGGTGGATCTTTGTGAGTTCAAGGCCAGCCTGGTCTACGAGCGAGTTCCAGGACAGGCTCCAAAACAATACAGAGAAACCCTGTCTAGAAAAAAAAAACAAAAAAAGTATTTGGACTTAATGGAAAAAGGTTTTTCCAGTTATTCAGAATTCATACTACAATGCTCACTTGCATAAAATTTTGTGCTGGAGAGCTTCCTGCTTAGAAAGTGCTTCCCCGGACTGATGACCAAAGGGATTAAGACTGGGCTGGTTTAACACCCAGAAACCGCTGACCTGACAAGGGTTAGCTCTTGAATCCCAGGCTGATGCCTGGGAATCCAGCATGGGACTGATCAAGACCCCCTGAATGTGGGTGTTAGTGAGGAGGCCTAGGTAATCTGTTGAGCCTTGGGTAGTAAATCAGTATTCATCCCAAGTATACACATTGACTTTGGACTCCCATCCAACAATGTGAGATGCACTCTCATCCTGAACTCTTGGGGGAGGGTCTAGGCCCTGCCCTGGATGAAATGACAGACTATGGACACCCCCATGGAGGGCCTCACCCTCCCTGGGGAAATGAGGGAATATTGGGGTGGTTAGTGGGAGGGCATGGGAGGAGGGGAGGGAAATGGAGAGGGACCTGGAATTGACATGTGAAGCAACCTTGTTTCTAATTTAAATTTAAAAATAAAAAACATCGCCTGCCTAAAAAAAAAAGTGCTTCCCCAGCTCACAAAAGCACTTGCGTGTGCTTATAACTATACTACACCTACTAGAGATTAAGAGCATGTCAATATTAGATTTTTGACTTTTCAGAGTATCCAAAATAATTTTCAACTTTTTATGAATTCAATCATTTTTCTTGTAGACAAAACACTCAAATACGGATAGATATATCTGGATGATGAAATATGAAAAGTTGTGCTTAAGTAATTTAGGAAAGAAAAATTATTTGTTATGTGTAACTTTAAAAATAAAAAATAAATTCACTCAAAATAATCATATTTTGTGGTTTTGGTTGCTTTCACATGTTTTTTTAAGTTGTAGAAAATTTAAACTTCCCCAATGATTTGGTTGTTTTCTATTATAAATTCCTGTATTTGTACACTGTTTAATTACAATATTGTACATACACTCCTGTTGTGGATTGACAGATTTCATCCCCAAATGATTCTATATCATGACAGATTGAAATAGGAATGAAGGGATCTGTTGATAGGACCGCTGACAGGCCCCAGTGGAAACATTTACCCTAAGTCATCTTATCTGTGGCAAGTAAATATTAATAATAAAAAGAACATGAAGTTTAAAAGCCATCCACCTGCATATTCTATAGAAAGTTTGACATGCTTCACTAAATGTCTTCTCACAAAGTGAAAACACACGCAGTGACTTGCAATAGCTTAGGTCAAGCAACATTATATATGGTACATTTTTGAAGAAATGTTGTCCTGTATGTAAGCAAATAAAATCCTGGAATAGTAACTGTAGTTGTCACTAAAGATGATAAATTCAACAACACGGTACTACTATTTGTGCATGAACCATGAAGGACTGTGACAGATGACTTTATCTTCTGCTCACACTTCATTAGCTGTACATAGTGCTGTGCTGCCATTATGTGGGTGAGGAAAACACATGCATGCACAATGGAATTACTTTATTTGGGCATCAAGAAGAACGAAATTGTCATTTTGAGGGGCATGGAACTGTGGATCATTCAAGAAAAGGAGTCACCCTCTAAAAGACAAGAAGCCTGCAAGAGGAAAATGGGGCATTTAAGAGTGTGAAGGGAAAAACAAGAGAATTAGAGAATGTGATAAGTAGGTGAGTGTTATCAGGCTGCGGTGTGTGTACCTCTGAAAATGTCGCAATGAGGGCTGTACACTGCAGTCACAGCGAAAATCAAAACAGACACAGCAAAGCAGGTTACATGCATAGCATCGACAACATACATTTACAGAGGGTAGTATGGAGATCCACTGTGGTTGTCAACGCCGAGGAAGAAATGAGTTCCTGGAATCACTATTTGAAATGTCCAGGGAAACACAGCAAAGATAACCCCCAAAATTAGTGAAAGAAAAAGATGCAATAAGATTGCATTGATAAAGTAGGAAGCACCCCCCCAACACACTGTTAACAAACAACGAATGAAATCAACATAGAAATATGTTGACTCAAGGAAAGATTACTGAATGTAAAAGGAAAATATTAATAGCCAAGCAACTAACTCTGATTCAGGCATAGAAACCTTGCTTTCCCTGAAACTAAAATTCAGCTAAGGTTCCTGAAACAGACTACTAGAAATAATAGGGTTCAGGAATTTGAAATCTGAGGTCTCAGAGTCTCCAGTTATACATACTTCATATTGGTAGCTCTGGGAAAGAGTCCCCATACTGCTTACATCCACCAGGTGACCAGGAAAGTGTGCCTCAGGCACAGAGCAGCCACCCAGAGAGGCCGGCCTGGCCCTCCTGCACAGCCTCACCCCTACAAACAGCAGCACAGACAAGAGGAAGAACGAAGACACAGATGCCAAGGCGATGACCAGGTACAGCGTGAGTGAGTCTCTGTCCTGTGTGAGGTCGTGTGCAAACTCAGGCAGAGGCAGGTAGGGCTGAGAGAAGCCATCCACCAGCAGCACATGCAGAGTGACACTGGCAGACCTGGGAGGGTCGCCATTGTCCTTGACAAGCAGCAGCAGCCTGTGCTTGGGAGCATCGCGCTCACTCAGCAGCCTGGAGGTGCGCACCTCGCCATTGTGAGCCCACACGCTGAACAGCCCTGGCTCTGTGGCCTTGAGCAGCTGGAACGACAGCCAGGCATTCTGACCAGAGTCGCGGTCCACTGCCACCACCTTGGTGACCAGGTATCCTGGCTCCGCCGCCCTGGGCAGCAGCTCTGTGCAGGGCGCAGATGCGTTCTGCAGCGGGTAGAGCACGAAGGGCTCATTGTCATTGGAGTCCAGCACGAGCACGCGCACCAGTGCCTGGCTGCTGAGAGCGGGCGAGCCTTGGTCTGTGGCGCCCACGCGGAACTCGAAGGTCTGGAGGGCCTCATAGTCCAGCGCCCTGAGCGCGAACAGCTGCCCGTTGTCGGCATTGATGGAGATGAGCGAGTCCAGGGCCAGCTGCGGGTCGTGGCTGGGCAGCAGCGAGTAGGTGATGCGGGCATTGGAGCCTGAGTCTGAGTCTGTGGCGCTGATGGTGCCTATGTGCAGGGCGGGGCTGTTGTTCTCCTGGACAAACAGGGTGTAGGAGGTTTGTGTGAAGGCGGGGGCGTTGTCGTTGACGTCAGACACCTGCACTGTTATGGTGTGCTGGGTTGTGAGCCTGGGTGTGCCCAGGTCGGTGACTGTGATAGTGATGTTGTACTCAGCTCTGTTCTCTCTGTCCAATGACCCCTCTGTCATTAATGTGTAATAGTTCTTGAAAGTGGGTTTTAAAAGAAATGGGAGATCATTCTGAATGGAACACACCATCCTTCCATTGTCCCCGGAATCTGGGTCAGAAACACGGAAAATAGTAACTACAGCCTCAGGAGCATTTTCTGGGATTGAAGCAGTGAGCGAAGATATGGTGAGTTTAGGAGCATTGTCATTCACATCCAACACCTGAATAGTTACACTGCATTTTCCTGAAAAGCCTCCACTGTCTGTGGCTATAATTTCCATGTTATAGTAGGGTGTTGACTCAAAGTCCAAAGCCCCTATAAGATGGATTTCTCCTGTGACCTCGTCTATTACAAACGGTTGAGAAGCTCCACCACCTTGAAACAGAGAGTAGACTACATTCCCATATATCCCAGCATCTAAATCCCTGGCAGAGACCGTGACAACTAAGGCACCAAGGGGGCTGTTCTCAGGGACCTGCACCTCATAGAGCGACTGTAGGAACTGGGGGGCGTTGTCATTGATGTCCACGACTTCAATGCGAACTGTGGTGGTCCCAGACCTGGGTGGAGACCCTCCATCCACAGCAGTGAGGGTCAAAGTGAGCTCAGGCTGCTCCTCCCTGTCCAGGCCTCTGTCCAGCACCAGTTCTGGGTATTTCCTGCCATCAGCGTGACTGTGAGTGACTGCATGGAAATGGAGGTTGGGGCTGACTGTGTAGTTCTGAACAGCATTGCTCCCTATGTCAGAATCCTGAGCTGCCTTCAGAGGAAACACAGTCCCTGGTTGGGCACTCTCAGGGATTTTTAGGAGCATTTCCCTGTGAGGAAACTCCGGAGAATGGTCGTTTACATCCGTGAGCTGAAGGTCAGTTTGGAAGAACTGCACAGGGTTCTCGAGTATGAGTTGGAAGTGCAGCACACAGGGGTCTGTCGCCCCACACAGCACCTCGCGATCTAGCTTTTCCTTTAATAGCAAATTCCCGGTCTCTGCATCCAGCCCCAAGAGCTCTTTGTTCCCACTGTGATGGATTTTAGGTCCTCTAGAGACCAGCTCGCCCACCCTGAGGCCCAGATCTCTTTCCAGGTTAGCCACCAAGTAGCCAGTCTCAGATTCTTCTGGCATGGAGTATACAATTGCCTCAGAGCCAGACTCCCACAAAAGCAACAACATAGTAAGAAAAACTACTTGCCTTTTTTCTGGCGTTTTTGCTAGATCTGTCTCCATTGTTCAGATGCAGTCCAGATGGTGCTGATGCTTCCAGTTAGTTTTAATCCACACAGATGAGGTTTGGTAAAATAACCTGGAATTAAATCTTACTGATTTGCTTACAGGAGCCCATTGTCCTGCATCTTATGTAAATGTCCCCTTCTTTCAGGCAACAGTCAGCATTCTGATTCCCGGGAAAGACTTCCTGCTCATTGTTGGAGACCCTTGTTATACAAATTGTTATCCTGCAGCGCCACCGTGTGAACTATTCAAGAGTTGCACATAGTGTTGTTCACTTGGTTCTCAGTTCCAGCACTGCTGTGTTTAAACACCCTTTATGATAGTGAAAGACCCCTACCCAGGACCCCCTAGGAAAATAAAAACAAGGCTAGGCCATTGCCTAATGAAAAAAACCCAGACCAGGTGCCTCGCCCAGCTGGCAGGATGTCAAACAGGATCTGTGGTCACCAGAGCAGTCATGGGACCCGGATAATAATTGCTGAAGCGTGCCAGGGTCTTTTATGTGGCAATACCAGGACACCTAGTCCTTAGCAACTACCCCTGCCCCCAGTTGTGTCTATGATCACCATAGTAGTCATGGGACCCGGATAATAATTGCTGAAGCGTGCAGGGGTCTTTCATGAAGTAATACCAGGAAACTTAGTCCGTGGGAACTACCCCTGCCCCCAAGATGAGCCAATGAAATTCCTGTTACTTATGTAACCATTAAAACTCTATAAATATTGTGCTTCCTGCAAGCCCGGTATGCTCTGCACCCGAGTTGCAGTAGCATCCGCAGGCGCCTGTGTACTCAATAAATCACCTCTTGCATTTGCAGCCAGTGGTCTGGCCCGGGTTCTTAGGCAGAGGGCCCAGCACTTTGATGCCGAGGTCTTTCAATAGAATGGTTGGGTCGGTGGGGAGCATGGGAGGATGGGAGGGGAGGGAACTGGGATTGATATGTAAAGTAAGATTGTCTCTAATATAAATAAAGTATATAATAAAGAAAAGGAAAAAAGTATAACAGTATCCTTCATTGTATGTTCTGATCTTACAGAACAACTAAGTGTCATCAGGTTAATATAGTCAAATAAACAGAATCTAGATGTTTAAATGACTGTGTCTAAACAAATAATGTTCCCCTGACATTTGTTAGTTACTGCTCTCATCCTGGGCACTTCACTGACTTTTGTTGTCATTGAATATCCTGCCTTTCTTACAAGTTTTATACAGTAGTTCCAGTAGAGTATCTATCTGTTGTGGGATTGTTTTCACTGTCATTTTCTTTGGTAAACTGATCTTGACAGGGTCTTTTCATTGTTTTGTGATTATTTTCATTGCTCATGTGATTATTTGTTTGCATATACTCCAGAAAAACAACATTGGGGGTTTCCAAGTGTGAGTTTTATTTTTGGTTTGCTTGGTTGTCTTGGGGTTTGTTTTTGTTTTTGAGACAGGATCTTTCTACATAGTCCTGGCTGTCCTGGAACTCACTATGTAGGCTAGGCTTGAGCTCATAGACATGCTTGCCTCTACTCTCCAAGTGCTGGAATTGAGGCATACGCCACCACTTAGAATTTTGAATGTTACTCCTGGATAATCTTTCACGCACCCTATGTATAACATATGCATGTATCATATGTATCAGAGCTGTTTGTTGTGCATCAAAGTGTGAAAACAGATTTCACCTTGGCAAATGCTGTGAAGTAGTTTTCAAGGGAGTTGCCCTGAGCTGCCCCTGATGACTCACTCCTGTAGTCCCACCTCTGGGAAGATACACAAAGGGGTATCACAAACTCAAGCCCAGTGTGGGATATATCATGAGTCACCGTCTCAAAGACATTTCTTTAAAAGCTGGGCATAGAGTTGCAGCTCAGTGACAGAATGCTTACCTAGTGCACTCAATGGACTGGGATCCGTTCCCAGCAATGTGGAAAAGTAATCCCAGCAACGTGTGGGAATTCCAGTTGCTCCATAATCATGTCAACATTTGATGCTGTCTTTCCAGTTTTAGCCACTCTAGTGAGTATATATGTCATGGTGTACATTTAATTAGCGTTTCCTTGGTGATTAATGAAATGATGCAAACTTTCACATGTTTATTGACCATTCAGATGCTTTCTTAGCATGAGGCCTTTTATACATGTTTTTATCTGATGCATTTGTCTGATGGCTTATTCTGCAGAAAATATTTTAGTATAATTCTGTTTTTGAATATGCATATTTCAAATAGTTTCCCATTCTAAGCCTTCTATTTTAACCTCATTATGGTGTCTTTGAGAAACAAAAATTTCTAATTTTGATGTAATCTGATCTGTTAGTATTTTCAATTTCTGTGTAACACTTTTCTCCTATTTTAAATCTTTCCACACTCAAGGAAGCCTTGTGTGTTTTGAATGATTGTTTTATTTTTCACATTTAAAGGTATAACCAATGTAAACTCTTTCAAGTATATGAAGTTAGGGTCCATATTTTACCAAATGCCTTTGCATTCTGAACTGAAAAGATGATCCATTCTGAGCTGGCACACTTGTCACAAGTCAGGTGATCCTGAATCAGCTCCAAGGTCCTATTTGTCTTTGAATGTCAGACAATCATAATCTCTCTTAATTACCGCAAGTCTGTTGGTCTTCAGGGTAAGTTTTCCTCTGAAAGATGAATTTTAAGAAATTTTAAATCCACAGAAACAAATGACTAAAGACACAGAGAATCTCCACAGCTGGGCACATCGTTCTTCCCTGCCGTTCCCTCCAGAGTGGTTTCTTATAACTGGTTGAGCTTCAGTACCAACCCATGTGTTTCCCTGAATCCATCAGTTTAATTGGGGTTCACTCTGTGAACTCTACATTAGGTAGATTTGGATTAATTCCTCATGATGTGCATCCATTTTAGAGTACCATAAAGAAGTTTCTCTGACTTCAGATCTTCGAAAGCTATTTATTTAATCTTCCTTTCCCTTTTCAGAATCTCTAGCAATCATGTATCTTTTTATTTGTTTGCCAAGACAGGGTTTTCCCATTTTTCCCTGGTTATCCTGGAACTCACTCTGCAGACCAGGCTGTCCTCAAACTTAGAGATCCACTTGCCTCTGCCTTCTGAGTGCTGGTGTGAAAGGGGTGTGTCACTATCATCTGGCCCATTTATCTTTCTTGCTGTCTGCACGCGTTGGCCTTTTCAAAATATTCTATATTAAGAGTTTTACAGCTTTGCTTCTGCGGTGACTAGTTGTTTAAGTTTCCTCAATGCCTACTCATGGATTGATAGCTAATTTCTCTCAGCATGAAATAATGTTCCACTTTGTATCTCCATCAGACTTTCTCAGTTTTACTTACAGAGGATCTTGGTCACTGCCAGGTTTTGACAAGTGTTGTAAAAGGTTTCAGCAAACACCCTATCCCAGGCTTTGTGTGGACTTAAGCTTTAGGCTAATTTGACGAATACTAAAAAAAAAAACAAAAAAAGATTTCTTGGTGACATAGTAAGAATGTGCTTCATTTTGCAAGAAGATGCCAAACTATCTTCTAAAATGGCGGCACCATTTTCATTCCCATGATACATGAATAAGGGTCCTTGGAACTTCGTGTCCTCCTCAGGTGTGGGTGGCATCAGTGTCCTGGAGTGTGGCTACTCTGTCTAATGGTTGTGCAGTGATTCTCGTTGTTATTTGAACTTGCAATTGCCCAATGGCATTGATGTCGAGTCTGCCCATGCCCTAATTTGCCATCTCTGAAACTTCCTGGCAAGTGTTAGGATATTTTTTTACATGATTTGTGAATGATGAGTCTTGAAAATCTTCACATATTTTGAACAGCTGCCTTTTCCCAGACACATCTGCTGGCAGCATTTTCTCCTGGTCTATGGCTTGTTTTTGTTTGTTTGTTTTTGTTTCATTTTAAAATTTTTCTTTGTAGAATCTTTTGCAGAAATTTTAATTTGAATGAAATGTGCATTATCAATTCTTTCTTCTAGGTATTACACTACTGCTATAGTATATCCAATTTTATTTTGGATTAAGATTGCTTTATTATTTTCTCTTTGTATATAAATACAAAGCATGTATTCAACCCATCAAATTCACAAAGAATGTTGAAGTTTTTGCTTAAGACTTTACAATTTCTATTGATTCTTTGAAAGGTATACAACATTCCAATCAGAGTCTTTCCAATAGACTGTGTGTATTCCTCAATGATGTTTGATATTCCTGCTTTACAGATATCCCATTAGATTTGTTTCTAAGTATTTCTATATTTGGGAGCCTTCTTAAATGCTTTAATTATTTCACTTTTTATTTATTTAAACAGAACTCATAAATGTGTTGACTTTGCATCTGCCAACATTCCTGACTTCACTTATCACTTCTGACTGCAGTGTCTTCATGGTTTTCATACATATAATTGTATCATTTAAAAATACAATTTTATTCCTTCTGTTGTGGCTTTTACCTATTTTTAAGCTTATTACTCTGGTTGAGACTGGTCATATAATCTTGGTAATAGGGTGGGCATCCTCATGTCATTTTTTGATTGTTGTCAGTATAAATTTTTCAATAATTCACTTCTAGTAATATTTGCTATATATGAATTAGTCTAGCTTTTCTGACATAGGGTCCTACTGTGCAGCCTGCCCTGTTATGGAACTCCCTACATAGGCCAGAATGATCTCAGACTCACAGAGATCCACCTGCCTCTGTGTGGTGATATATTCTTTATGATTTATTAATGCTTGCCTGAGGATTCAGAAAGCAAAGTCTGCCTCAAGCTATAGAGATCAGGCAGTGGTGATACACAACTTTAATCCCATGACTCAGGAGACAAAGGCAGATGAATCTCTCTGAGTTCAAGGCCACCCAGGGCTACATGAGATTGAATCAGTCTAAAAAGAGTAACAGAGCTCACACCTCCAATCCCAGCACTAGAAAGATATAAAAAAGAGTAGCAGGATCTTCAGTAGCCAGTCTCAAGATTCTCCAACCATGTTGAGGAGACCATAGCAGTCTGGGGTTGCAGTATGAGGTATGGTGAAGCCAGGATAGCATTTCAGTCTGAGGTAGAAGTAAGAGCTAGTGGCCAATTACTTTGCTTATTTGATTTTCGGCTTGAAGCTTGAATCCCGAGTATCAGTCTCTGGGTCTTTGATTTTTCGTGCCTAATCCTCTGCCTACTGAGATTAAAGGCATGTGCCACAATATC